AGAACCTCAACTGCCTGGAGGGCGCCAGCCAGGCCCGCTGTGTTCTCCCTGCTTGGAAGAGTACAACGAAAACTGAAATCCAGAACCGCCAACCCGCTCCCGGCCGAGGGAAAAATACCTCTGCAGGGAAGTTCCCGCAGAAGGACAGACTCAGACACCCCAGAACTTCCTGCCTATGTAGGGAGAGCAAGGGTCACTCGCTGTCCTGGGGGAGGGGACACCTGCTGGAGAGCCTCTTGCCCCGGGGCCGGGCATCTGGGCAGAACCCGCTCGGCGAGGGCCGTAAAGCCAGAGCGCGGAGACGCGTCCTGGCTGCGCTGTGGCCCAGCACCCCCGCTCAGGCGTCACCCTTGCCCGTTTTCCAAAGGGTCAGGGTGTGCCCACCCAGTTGTCTGAACCCCCCCTTAAGGGACGCTGCTTCCACCCCACACCAGCTTGTGGGCACCCCGCGCTCCAGGCTGCCACCAACTGGGCAGAAGCTGGGAGCCAGGCCAGTGCGGGCCCATTCACCAGCACGGGGACCTGGGGTGACCTGCCCTGTGTCTTTGGGCTCGGCTGCCCTGGGCCATGAAGGGCAGGGGTGGTGTGTGGGGGGCTGCGTGACCCCAGCAGGTGTGCCTCCAAGGACCCTCCTGCACAAAGGGAACCCTAGGGGGTGCTGCCTGCCGTGTCTCTGGAGCGCATCTGCCAGGGAGACACAGGCGGTCTCCCGGGCCCCTCATGGCACAGCGTCAGACACAGGGGCTGCCTGGACGGGCAGGCGTCTCTGCACACCAGCGCACCACTAGGATAGTCGCTGCCTCCCGGGAGGGGCTCACGCAGGGGCGCCCACGACAGTCTGGTGGGCTCGAGACACACCTGGGAAGTCCCAAGTTAGGGACATGGCGCTGAAAGGAAGGTGAGGCGGCCTCACAACACACCTGTTCAGCAGCACAGGTGTTGCTCATCCAGGGCGCAGATGCAAGGGCTCTCGGGCCACCCAACGGGGGTCTAGGCACCCCACTCCAGCCACAGCGCGAAGCCGCGTGTCTGCTGACAGCGGTCGCTCTCTCAGGTCCCACGTGCACGTCGCTTGCTAAAAGCAGCAGGTGCATGCGGGGGCAGCTTAGAGACACGCGGGAGGCGGCGCGGGCCCCCTCCTGGGCCTTCGGTAGGCAGAGGTGCTGCGGTGGCCTGATCAGCTTCCTCACCACCAGCGCGGAGGGAGGAGCCAGACTGAGGCTCTGAAATATCTTGTGTTTTCTTTAGGGCTGGCTTCCAGGCAGGCTTTTCTGGAAGCAAAGGTGGGCTTCAGGCTTCAACAAGCACATCCCAGGAGTCCTGACTCCTGTCAAGCAGCAGTGAAACATGGGAAACCTGAGCTTCTCAAAAACAGGCAGGCAGACAAGAGGATCAAGACAGACGGGAACACGGACTCCCTCCCGTCAGTAAGTCCCTCGGTCCAGCTGGGGGCCGAGGGCTTCGGGAGGGAAACCCGGAGCTCAGGACGTGGGCCCAGTCCCAGCTCAGCAAGCTCAGGGGCTGCAGCCAGACCCTCACTTTACGGGGTTTCCTTTTCCTCCGGCCGCTTCCTGAGGCGGCAGAGAACAATAAGTGAGAGGGGCAGGCTGGATTCTTCCCCAGGGAACGCGTCTGTGGGGAGAGCTCCCACAGGAGCCCAGGAGGGCGGGCGGGCTGCTCGGAGCGCTGCTCCTCCTCGGGACAGTGTGCCCAGCCCGAAGAGTGACCCACACCGCCCGGTTCTCACTCAGACAGCAGATTCTTGCTGCGCGCACGGCCCGGCACGCACACACCGTCAGCATCGTGACCTGACCCAGCAGACGCGGACGAAACAAGACCCAACACCGACTTTAGGTGCTACTTGGTGTCTGTTGGGGCTTCGAGCCTGGGGTCTACAAATGTACCCATTTTTAAAAGCCCCCCCCCCCCAACCCCCGACCGAAGGTGAGCTAGTCAACATGTGGGGCGGAAATCACACGTGACAAATGCTGCCCGTGGCTGGGGGGGGAGCGCGGCCGTGAGGCCCCTGGGCCCAGCGGCAGGTCAGCCAGGAAGGCCGCCCCAGAGGGGCTGAGGAGGCGGAGCCCACCTGGCAGAGACCCGCCCTTCAGGGACACAGCTGGCCTCTGCCTCCACCTGCAACCCCCTCCCCCCATCTGCCCGGAGGCCTGCGGGAGCGGCTGCTGGGGGACAGTGAGGACCGGCTCAGCCTCCAGCAGGAGGCGCTGCAGAGATGGCTCCTCTAGGGCGCGGGCGGGGTGGAGAAGATCCTGCCCCACCACCTGCCCACGTGGCTTCTCAGTTCTGGATGTGGCCACAATGCTGATTCCAGAGAGTAGAATGGAAGGTCCCAGCCCAGCCCCTCCTGGGAGTGAGGATTACGAACAGGGGTGTGGGGGCCAAGCAGAGCGGGAGGGTGGCTACTGAACCCCAACTCCTTGACCATCTCCAGGGCCTCCGTCCCTCCTCAGCAATCTGGACGCAGCCTTGCTGGCATAAGAGAATCAACGCCTGCGTCCACGCCGTCAGGAAACAGGGGTCACCTGGAATCACCAGACCCCGGTCAGGTCCGAACCCGGCTGGGGGGCAGAAGGGTGCAGCAGAGCCTCACGACCAGGTTTTTTAGTTAAAGCAACAAAAGAAAAAAATGGTGTCACACAGCCCATCTAAATTAGGAACTTTTGCTTTTAGGGCACCGTTAAGATAATGAGGGGAAACCACCTACGGGCCTGTGTCTGATAAGGGACCCTTATCAAGAAAGTATGGAAACGCCTGCAGTTCCCCAAGACAGGCGGCGCGATTACAACCAGCAACCCGAAGCCGCTCCCAGAGGCCTGTGGGCGTGGAGCCAGCAGGTGCAGAGCCTCAGCCGCACGCCCAGGAGACCCAATTAAACCACTGTGAGGTGGGCTCCTGCCCGCCCGAAGGACTGACCACCCGAGCGCGGCCGAGCCCCTGCTGTCAGCAGTGAGAGTAACCTGGACTCACCGCAGCGCCGGAAGCCCCTGCCCGCACCCAGGCCCCTGCTCAAGGCCCAGCCGTACCATAACCGCCCCCAAGGCCCCCAAATGGGTATACAAAGGGGCGCCCGTGGAGGGGCAGCAGACAGTGCTGAAGAGGCCAGAGCGGCAAGTGGGTGGGTCCTTCCCAAGAGCACCGCCCTCCTGGAGACAGACTGCGGGCGGCTGGGGGTCCATCTGGCTTGGGGCGGGCTGGGGCCTGGCCGCCTGAGGGCTGATGCAGACGTTTCCGTTTGCAGTGGTGACACTGCGCTGGCACCTGCCCTGTGGGCGGGGAGGTCGCCGTCTCAGAACCAGCTGCAGGTGGCTCGCCCACAGGTCCAGCAGCGAGCCTCTGGGCGGGCGGGCGTCAGTCACCACGCTGCCCTTGAGTGTGACCAGGCCTCGGGCACAGACCCCACCCAGGCCGGTTTGGGCACAGGCCTGCGGAGCGCGCCTCTCCGTGTCGGTGCGGGGAGAGCACGGCCGCTGTCCGTGACAGCTCTCAGCTCCCGCCGTCCTGTCCTCAAGCCCCACCGCTGCTCTGAAGCCGCCTTCCGTCCCCGTATGCGCCGCAACACAGCCAAGGCGTTTACTGTTGCAAAGGGAGGAAAGCTGGGCAGCCACGCGGGGCGCCGCGGGGGTGGGGCTGGATTGGCACCTGCCTGCACCAGGTTCCGAGACCCCTGCTGGCGCAGGCTTTACGCCCTCCCACACAGCTACCACGCAGCAAGTCTAGAACAACAGCCCCAAATCATGACAGGTGGCATCTACTCCCCAGTACCCAGAGGTTCCTGATTTTCTATTTGTCACCATGAGAGGGGGCCTGGAAACGGCCACTGCACCCCACTGCTGGTCCCAACCACCCCGCTGACTCACAGCTGCCCTGGCAAGTCCTCACCCATCCAGAGACAGACAGATGCCCGCCAAGCCCACTGCCAGATTTCCCCCTTCGGGGGTCAGGCCCTCTCTCCTGGGGGCCCCTCCTTGTCCCCATCCTGCTGCGCCGGGGCTGCCGGACCCCAAGGCCAGCGTTAAAAGCAGGGACGAGAGTGACGCAGCCCCCTGCTCTGGAGACCCCTGTTCTCCAGAAAGGTCCTGAGCCGTCTGGGCAAGGCCTTTGGGCCTCTCTAGCTTCCTGGGGACAACGATCTGGAAGATGGAAATACGAGGGCCGGAGGCCGGGTTAAGTGCTCCGACACACAGCAGCCCGCTGGCAGCCGCGGCACACTTCCCCGCTTCACGCCAAGACAGAGGCGGGCGGGGCCGCGGGGGCCCAGCGGCGGGGAGCCCCCGCAGTGACCACCAAATGCGGGGCCCAAGTACAGAAGGACAGGAAACGCGACGATCTGCAGCCCCGACCGCAGCCCAGGCCACCACCCATGGGCTCAGCGTGCACAGAGCAGGGACCCTTGGGGTGTGGGAAGGAAGCTTCTGGAAGCCGCACGGAAGTGCTGGCTGCGCACATGGAATTCTACGCGGGAAGGAGCTCGGAGACGGCTCGGCCCCTCGGGGAAGCGCTGACGGCCTGGATGGTACAGATCTTAACAGTCCTCCAAGGTGACAAAACGGCCTGGGGGCACTCTGGAAAGTGCCGGCAGAGCGGGCCTGGCCGTGCTGGCCCAACATGGCGCAGAGAGCCCGCAAGTAAGTCCCCATGAAGACAGAGCCGAGACGTGACAGGCCGCACCGCCCCGTGCCCCAGGGCCAGGTGCTGCTGGCGCCCCGAGCCGGCCCGCGACCACGCCACCTCACAGGGCGGGCCCCGGAGCCGAGGGTGGCACGGCTGGTGACCGTGCCGTGTCCAGGACGGCTAGGGGGCACCGGTCGGCGCCGAGGGAGCGCTGCATGCCCACCACACCGCCCAAGCACTCCAGGCCACTGAGCGGCCCCGGCTCCCTGCGACAGCCGAGGACCTCCCCCTCCTTGGCCCCGTGGAAACCGGACGAAAGGCCCCAGCGCCGAGGGGAGGTCAGGCGGGCGCGGGCACCAGGCGGGCACTTACCAATCTGCAAGAGGATGGGCGTGACCAGCGCCGTCTCCATGGCGTAACAGAACTCCCTGCCAAACATCACGGCCCCGTGCATCACCCACAGGCGCACGGGGATGCGGTCGATGGACCCCTCGCTCACGGTCTCGTCCCGGGGCCCCGCCGCGCCGCCGGGCTTCTGCAGGTCGGGCAGGGGCACAGGCAACTCCTGCACTTGCATAGATTCCGAGTCGGCATTCTGCGGAGCCATTTTCATTACCAACAAAAATATATATAGAATATATATTTACTCTATCTATATAAATAAACTATCGTGTATCTTCGAGGATAAATTAAGACGTCTTCTCTTCCTGCTTCGGGGGAGCGCCTCTGGCAAGTGATGCTTATATTCCTCTCCGGGCAACTGGATAATCTCGCAGCTTCTCCCAGTCGTATGAGACACGCAGCAAAGCAGGATTTTTGGTTGGATTTTGAACATATGGCTTGCTGGTTTACTGTGAATTAGAGTTAAAAATCCATAATTGCCATTCAGTTAATACCAGTTTCATCATCATTACTGAAGAGGTGCTGACGTGACTCTCCTTGCTACAGAGGGGTGGGAAGGCGACACAAAAAGGCGGTCCGCGCTTGCTCCCCATCGAGCGACTGGGCGACCTGCAAGAGAGGAGACACCCCAGTCAGGCCGGCCCCGCCCCCCGCCGCGCCTCCAGGCCCAGCTCCCTGCGCTCTCTCTGGGAGAAACAGCCGGATTTCCGGAGAAGCACCCCCTCTTGTGTGGAATTTAACCCTGGGGAGGGGGCCCCAAAAGCAAGCGGGAGGAGAGAGAGTAGCCCCAGGCTCAGGCACCTGCAGCAACTTGGGCGGGGGCGGGGTGGAAAAAGGCGCTGCCCGGAGGGGCCCAGCGAGTGGGCAGCAGGACCCGGGTCCTGGGGGTGTGTGTAAAGGGCCCCCAAAGGCGGTTGGATTCTGTTGAGGGCAGCTCAGAGCGCTGGTCCTTGACGTTTTTAGGTTATAAAACTCTGACAATAAAATGACAGTCGCAGCCCCCTCCAGAGAAAGTGTGCCTCTGTGCCCACGCCTGGGCACCTCGTCCGGGGCCCAGAGCCCGCCCCCGTCCTGAGTCTCGCAGGGGTTCGGCTTTGTGCGAGTCCCCCCTCGGATGCGCCCTGACGACAGAGCTGGGCCGTCCCCTGGAAAGGGAGGCAGGGAGGTCGTCCAGGCACACGCCGTGCTGCTGGGGCGGGGTCGGGGACGTTTTAGGTCAAGCTAGGTCTGTGGGCCCTCACCGCAAATCCTCCAACAACTGGTTTACCTCAAACTACCTCTAGTTAATACTCACTTAGCTGAGGCGACCTCAAGCAGCACCTCCCCCAGAAGGGACCAGAAGTGGAGAGGTGCTCGTATCTTGCCCGGGAGCCTCGGGGGCGATGGCGGGCCCTGGCACGCGTGAGCTGCAGGCACAGTGCCAGGGCCCAGCAGGGGAGGAGCCGAGCCTGGGCGAAGCGGGAACTACGTGGCTGCGGGACCCTGACCAGCCCTCGTCCCTCGCCCGTCCACGCCAGCCTGCCCTCAGTGGTCTTCCTGCTGCTCTGGAAGCTTCCCTGGTATCCGATCTATCTCGTCGCCTCCTGTCCCCAGGGCTCAGCGTGACTCTGCACTGGGGCCTCTCTCGGAAACCCTCAAAGGTACCAAGTGTCCTCGCCGCAGAGCTACCATCGCCATGAAGCCGGTGCTTCCCACTGCCACCCGCAGACAAACCCTGTCAAGGGCACTTTTTAAATGAAACTGTTTGCAACACCTCCAAAGCAGACAGACCGGTGTCCAGAAGCCTGTCAGCTGGGACCCACTTTCGGCCTCCTGCTGCGGTCCTGCCTCTCGAGCGACGCCTCCCGACCCTGAGCAGAGGTCAAGACTGTCCATCCTGGCAGCCTTATGCCAAACTGGGCCAATGACTCTCAATGCCCTTGTCCAGCCAGCAAGACCAACCCCGATGTCAGCAGGGAGGCCGCCCGCCTGCGCGCAAGGCTGGGCCGCTGTGGCAGTTTTCGAGGTGACCCAATGACTTCGCAGGAACAGCTCGTGGGTTCTGTCCCTCAGCCACACCCGCCCTTGACTCGCGCCCCCAGTGGATGGGCATCTGCCGAGGGTTCTGCGCGACAGCAGGCCCTGGGGCAGACCTCGGGAACCAGCACGCAGGCGCTGGGTCAGGTCTGCGGGCCCCGGGCAATTCTGGAGACTCTGGATAAGGATGCCAGAGCACCTAGTGGGTGCAGGCTGGGCCGCTCAGCCTCCCGTGGGCACAGGGTGGCCCCCAGACGAAGGCACAGCTCCCCAACATCAATGGCCCCTGAGCTGCAGTGGTTATTATCAAATAGGAAAACGTTTTAATGATGCTCGGCCTCCAGCAAGCGCGCTCTGAAGCAGCCAAGCGCACCGGCGAGGGCAGCGCGGTGTGCGAGGCTGGGGAACGCGGGCCGCCTCCTGTCCGCGTTGAGTAGACTTTCTTGAAAAACCACAAAACCATTCTGAGCTGTGCGGGTCCTGCAAACCCAGGCCCAAGCTGGAAGGGACCCAGGCCACAGTCTGGTCACCTCTGAACTGGACTAGGGTCAGGGGGCGCTGACTGCCCCTCGGCTTCACTCCCGTTTCACCCACACTGTCTGCGGCCAGGGAGTGCCCGCACGGGCCAGGCGGGCTCCAGGCCGGGCGGCAGGCAGGGCAGGCGGCGGCTCCCCGCTCCAGCCCACCCCCCACTCCATGGGGAGCAGCCTCTCTCGGGAGTTTGTTTTCAAAGGGAAGGCTGAGTGAGATCCACCGAGAACTGCCAAAGGCCCAGGAAGTCAGGGCCGCCTGCCTGGCCTCGGGTCACTCTGCTGGAAGATCCAGGCGCTAGACCCGGGATGCGAAGTCCCAGGACTGACACGGAGGGCGAAGTCATGTGCCGACAGAACATCAAGTCAGAACAGAGGGAGCCACAGGATACCACGTGTGAGTGTTCCCCAACGTTGGGGGTTCCTGACCCAATTCCTAAAAGTGGCCCCAAACTGGCCTTTGGAAGAGGAAGTGAGGGGAAACAAAGGGGCGGGGATGGCTGCACCCCACCTCCCCAGGACGAGGTGCCACTCCCAGTGGTCCCACAGGCAGGGCGGGCGGCCCAGCAAGCCTGAGCGGGTCTGAGGCTCTGCCCGGTCCTGGGCCCAGGGGACCTGCACTTCTAGGCAGACAAGAGGGCCTGGGGCGGCGTCTCCAGGTCCCTGCCTGACCTGTGGGGGGCTCAGTTGGTCGGCAGTAGTTCCTGCTGCGACCCGGGTTCTGGGGGGCAGAGGGAAGGTATCTCCTTCAGGGAGGACCCCAGCACAGCAGGGCTCAGTACCCTCACCTGGCGCCATGGCTCTCCTGCTACCCCTCGCTCTGCCCTGCTCCTCCCCTTCAGCTCAGGCCACAATGAGCCCCTGAACACCTCTGCAGGGTGCTGGCCTGCACCTGCACCCACCCGGCCTGCTGTGCTGGCCATGGAGCTCGGGAGGCACTGGAAGGAGGGATGGCGAGGACCGGCGGCCGCCCCCACCCAGCGCCCCGGGCCAGGGCACTGCGCCCCGAGCACGCGTGATGGTGGGCGGAGTTACCTGTTACTCGAGCAGTCTAGGCATTAACACGGCGGCTCCCTCCAGCAGCCCGAGCGGCGGCGCAGTGACCAGCATGCCGGGCTGCACTGTCATCTACAGCGGCAAGAACGACAGAGACCAGCAGCACCCCAGGCGGCTCCAGTGCAGCAGCCCCCCGCACAGGGTCCCCCTCGAGCCAGCCAGGCTGTGGAAGAGCCGGGCCGCTGCCTGACCAGGAGCGCGGACCAAGGCTGGACGACCGACAGGGCAGCTCCTCTCAGCAGAGACGGGCTTCCTCATGCCAGCGCCCGGCTGGCCGCCACCCGGCAGGTGTCAGCCTCCCAGGCTTATGAACACCGTGGCGGATGCCACAAAACCACCCCAAAACAGAGCCGAGGCGTCGACGCGTAAAGGCCACTTGGTCTTGTCAAGGAGCTGCGTGCGGGGGCCCAGCCCTCAGAGGCGGGCTGCAGGTGGGGACAGGAGACACGGCGCCGCGGCTGGAGAGCGTCCGGGCTGACGCCCAGGACCCGGGGCATGGCTGCTGGGAGTCACCTCGGGGGATCTGGCTGTTTGGATGCATGTGAGGCACAGACCGTTCAGGTGGCAGCTCACGCGGCACTACTTCCAGTGAGATCTAAGGGGGCCCTGTCCTGTGCGGGGGGTGGGGGGTTGGGGGCACTGTCCTCTTGCCACAGTGGACATCCGGCTGCTTGCGTCGTATGTCCAGGTCTGCCCAGCAGTCCGAGGCCTCTATCATGGTGAGTGGCCGCTGCCCTGGTCTACTCCTGTGCTGTGCTGACCGCCACCGTGAGAGTCCAGCCAGGAGGACGCCCCCTCTCTGCTGAGGCCAGTCCGAGGCTTCCAGCCAGGCGGCCCGCCGCTCCTATGTGCCCCCCGCAGGAGCTTGAGGAGCACTCGCGCTTTAAGGGCGCGGCGAGCTGGAGGCAGGGGCAGGCCGTGCCTCTGTTGAGAGTCCATTAGCTTCGCAAGTCAGCTTTGGGCGAGCCGCCACCCCGGAACACGGAGCCGCCCTGCGCACGGAGGCGGGGTCCCCCTGGCCGGCACGTTTCCGGTCACGCTGCTCGAGCGCATCCCCTGCTCTGTGGCTGCTGGGACGGCTCTCCCCCCGCGGGCGCCCCTTACCCGCTCGGCTTTCCGGCAGTGAAGCGACCACCGGTCCCTTCCGCCAGGTTGATGTCGGGGCACAGAACATCCCCAAACACCCCGCAGGCCCTCTTCTGTCCCTCCCCATGCGGTGAAGGCTACTGGTTCTTAGCTCTTCAACTTGATAATCTAACTCTGTGATTGTCTGAGAATGGACAAAAAGCAGGAGAACAACGTGGCCGTTTCCAAGCAGAGCGCCCAGTGCAGCCTAGGCGAGCGTCACCAGGGCCTGCAGGGCTGGGCGGGAGGGCGAGGCCAGGGCTTGCCACGCCTGCTCAGGGCCCAGAGCAAGGCCCCCTGTGGGGCTCTGTGGAGCCAGGACGCCCGCCCGCTGGGGCCACCCCTTGCTCTCCCTGTAGGCCCCTTCTTATTCATCGGGGCGCCACAAGGCTGGCAGGGGAAGGAGCCTGGGCGAGACCAGGAAGGCGTGTGCAGGGCGGGGCCGCTCATGCTCACATACGTGCTCACGCACACAGGCAGCAGGTGTGCCGGCACCGGTGAGGAACAGACCCCGTAAGGCCATGTCCTGCAAACCAGGTCCGTGAAGGGGTCTGCTCAGAGCACGCAGGCTGCTCTCTTCAGGGAAGCTGTCCGCTGACACCTGCCCGCGCTAGCACGTTCCTTCTGAGGCACGGGCCGCAAGCAGCCCAGCCAAGCCAGCTCACAGGCGCCAGCAACCAAGACGAAGCACGAGACTGTCCTCCGCGCCGCCGCCTATCAAAGGTGGAGGGGCGGTTTGAGTTCTGAGCCGATCCCAGCATCCTCCACTCAGAAGGCCCCTCGCCAGGGACGCGCGTGCCCAGCGGCCAGCCCTGGTGGTGCCGGGTCAGGGCTCACAGAGGCAGGTCGTCAAGGACAGGACATCACTGCGGCCAACGACTT